GGAAGTGTCGGAGGATGATGCGTTGGATCTGGAGGTTGGTGGGGTGGTACGTGAGGACGAGGGGGATTCTTTTTTGGTTCTTATTGCGTGGGTGGGGTGTGAGGGATGAGGTGCGGGAGATGTGGGAGACACGGTTGAGGGCGTTCTCGACCACCGAGGGGGGGAAAGTTACGGTCCTTGAAAAACGAGGACAACTGAGATGTACAGGAGTGGAATGCCTCATCCTGGGAGCAGATGCGGCGGAGGCGAAGGAATTGGGAATAGGGGATAGCATTTTTGCAGGAAGGTGGGTGGGAGGAGGAGTATTCTAGGTTCCCTCCCCCTACCGCATCCCAAAACCAGTCCAGCTCGTCCCTGCCTCCCTAATCTGTTCTTCCTCCCAACTATCCCCTCCTCCCACCTCAAGCCGCACCTCCATCTCCTACCGACCAACCTCATCCCGCCCCCTTGACCTGTCCGTCCTCCCTGGACTGACCTATCCCCTTCCTAACTCCCTACCTACACTCACCTTTACTGGCTCCATCCCCGCCTCTTCGACCTGTTTGTTTCCTCTCCACCTATCCTCTTCTCTATCCCTCTTCTATCCGCCTCCCACTCTCTCCCTATTTATTTCAGAACCCCCTTCCCCTCCCCCTTTTCTGATGAAGGGTCTAGGCCCGAAACGTCAGCCTCTCTGCTCCTATGATGCTGCTTGGCCTGCTGTGTTCATCCAGGAACTGGAATTTGATTGGTATCACTGCAATGTGTGAGAGAGTGAAGTGGAGTATCTGAATTTTATGTGTGATCCTGAGCACCAGAAATTACTGATGGGTGAGTGATGAGGGCATGGGGCATAGAGCAGTACCGGAAATTGGTGTTGTAGTTCTTCAGAGATGTCAAAATGCCTGCAACAGACTCATAAGGCTACTTGTGGCATGCTGCCATATCTTTGTGTCCAGATCACAGGATTGATCTTCCTGACCACTTGCTCACAGTCCCCTTTATGGGCTGTCCTTCAGGACTTCCTGGGATCTGGAGAATCATGGCATCTCTCCTCTAGTCCTCTTCCATGAGTAGGTCCAAGAGTCCTGCAACAGTGAATGCAGAAGCTCCTTCATTGCCCTGGTGTTCTGGTTCTCTTCTTCAGATTTGCAGCATTATCATTCGGTACAGCCTCCTATGATTCAATGGACTTTTCCTTTAAGAGGAGCAGGGTACCTACACTATGTGTTGTCAGTGCGCTGTCCTTAGTCCCCTACTGAGTAGCCCGCAGCACTGGTCCTGCTTAGACCAACCAGTGCTAGCTGGTAAATGGGGAGGGAGTACCTGACAACAGGTATGGACAGGTACAAATCACCATCCCAAGTCCCAAAAATTGCACAGTTCTAGTCTAATCATCATTTTTAAAATGTCCTTTTACATCCATAATCAACCTTCTAGAATGAAAATCTGCACTCATTTCAATGAGAGCATTAGCACAAATAACTTATCAGGTTGATTAATCTTTGTAGTTCTTTGTTGACAGATTGTAGTCTCCCCCACCCCATGTCAAACTGATTAAATTGCTTTTTCTGATTACAGCGTTTTTCAAAGCTCTAACTTTGTTTGGTGATTTATTTAATGCAAGGTTTCCCTTTTTATTGCATGCATCAATTTAGAAAAGATCTGGTATCAATTTAGAAAACATTTGGTTTTAAGAAAGAATGCTTTCAACTGATCTGGTACCTATGGTTGAGCCCAAGTGATTGGGAATGTATGTAATTGGATTTTTTTTTGAGTGGAGCACATTGCAGCAGCACAAATCCTGTCAATTATTCCAGTTTGTTTTTCAAGAGCATACTGGGAGTGGCAAAGCAGGAGAGGAAATGTGATTGGACGATAAATGGCAGTGTATTGTTAGAGATGCTCATGGTAAGGCCCTCTCCTTTAGAGAGACAGATCGATTGTAGCTTAACGTGACTGCTATGAATGTTAAAGCACAGCTGACGCACTATCCCTGCTGTAGGAAAGCACATGCAAATTTATTGTTCCCAATGACAGCCTGAAGGCTACAGTTTCTGTGAAGAAGCTGGATGTAACAGTCATCTTCTGAGACAAATTAACCATGAAGGTAAATGATTAAATTGCATCACTTTGCTGTACTCGGAGTCATAATCATCACCATCTTGAATTTTACATATGGTTTAGTAGTAAAATCTGCGTTTACCCACAAACTGTGTGCCTGTTAGACTGTGTATTGTATAGTGTCTCAGAACAGAAGCAGCTGTGTGCTGTGCAATCCTGCAGCCAAGTCCTCTTTGT